TATAATTTTAACAAGACAGGCTTTTAGATAGGGGTTATATTAAGCTAAATAGTTATTACAGGCACAGATAGACATAATTAGCTAAAGGCTATACAGCTAGGCGACTGTAAATAGGTGACAGTTATTGCAGGCATTAACGCAGATAAGTAGGCAATACCTCTGTACGTAATCTTTAAAGGCAAGCATCACCTATCTGCCTAGTATAAAAATAAGGATATACTAAAGGACTAGGCTATTAGTGTTAGCAACAACAGCTAGATAACTAACAAACATAGAATTATATAGCTAAAGCACTTTAATCTGCATATAAAAGATTACTTAGTAGGCTTATAGCAGCTACTTATTTTTAATAGCTATAAAAGCTATTACTCTGTTAAATTCCTAAAGCTCTGCAAGCAGAGGCGTATTATAGCGCTCTATATGCCAGCACACACGTCACATATTCTATAGCTGCTTAACATTAGCTGCTTTTTACTGTTAAAGTGCGCGTACAGTACTAAGATTAGCTAGTTAATCTACTACTAAATTAACTATATTAATAAGCTAACCTTCTTACTAGCCTTTAAAGCAGTATTTAGTTACTTAATTATAATAGATAATATCTGCGTAGGCTTTAGAGCTATAGGACTAGTTCTATTTAACCTAGAGCTAGTGCTCTTAAAGCTTAATATACAGCTACCTAATTAGCTAGCTACTTTACTACTAAATACTGCCTAGGAGGCTTAAACACCTAGTAATTTTTATAAGGTTAAGGCTTAGTTAACTCTACTATATAATTAGATTTAAAGGCATTAGAATTTGTCTTTTTTTGCTATGCTTAATCTAGCAAAGCAGCTAAGTAAGGGCGCTACTAAAATAGCTTATGTTGCTATTCTACAGCGCAATTAAGCAGCTGCCCTAGAGAGGGCCTGTAAGGCAGCTACAAAGCGTAAGCAGCGTAAAAAAAAGCAAATTTAGAAAAGAGAAACTCTAATAAGTTATTAGGGCTTTAAGTTAAGTACTTAAAAGCTTGCTAGTATAGCAGGAGGTAGTAAAATGCCTTAGGAGGAGTTAACTGCTAAAAGCAGCGCAGCGCGCGCACAGCGCTGCAAGTGCTGCAACAAGCCTAGGCATAACTCTTGTACATGCAAGGATATTAAATAATCCTATAGTAGTTTATTTTATATAGTATATTTTTGCGTTGTTAAATTAATAGTCTTTAAAGTTAAATTTAGTAGTAGGGCAGAACACTTGCTTGTGTTGAACATTCGCTTGTGGACCATGTTATAGAATTAGCTTATAAAAGTTATTTAGTGCTATAGTTATTTATTATTTTTTAAAAAACTCTATATATAGCTGCAGCATGTAAGGACAGGGCTCCGCACCACTCTGCTAATACAACTAAAAGGTACAAATAATTAACCAACGTTGATTTTTAGATGCAGAATAGTATATATACTTGTTGCACGTAAGCGCTATCTTAGCCTTACAGTAAGCACTATCTTAGCCTTACATTATCCCCCTTCTTAGCAGACGCATGTCCTAGGCGTCACATGACCTACCCGCAGCTTAGAGGCGCCTATGCGCATGTCTTAGTTACCGGCCAGAGGCTGACCACCTGCGGCCTAGAGGCGCGGGATAAACACAACGCAACGCTTAGTGGCCCACGCCAGCTAAGCCATATACACTAGACCTCCTAGCAGCGACAACGTGGCGCTAGAAGAGGCTGCTTTATGTTTTAGTCTAAAAACTAGCTAAGCTGTCTAAGGTGTAGGTTAAACACACAACTATCCTTGTTATTAGTTAATTATTATGTAAGGATAAGGCTTTACACTACTCTGCTAATATAACTAAAAGGTATAAATAATTAACTAATGTTAATTTTTAGGTGCAGAATAGTATATATACTTGTCGCACGTAAGCGCTATCTCAGCCTTACAGTAAGCACTATCTTAGCCTTACACAGCATGTTTTTTTAAGAGTTTTATGTTTTATTTAAAAGCTTAAAGTGTAAGCTATATCTAACATTCTTTTAGCATGTTTAAGTAGTGTTGTTAGAAATACATTAGTGTAGAAAAAGTAGTTTAGTAGAGTCTTAGTAAAAGTAAGCAACTTAGGTGTGTAAGCAACTTGCCTGTAAAGTACGTTATACTAAAGAACTTTTAAAAGCTAATTTTATAGCTAACTTATAAAAGCTAGATAATAATAAAAAGTAAGTAATTATTAAGCACATACTTTAGCTATATAACGTACACTACAGGCAAGTTGCTTACACACCTAAGTTGCTTACTTTTGCTAAGACTCTACTAAACTACTTTTTTTACACTAATATATTCTTAATAATACTACTTAAACATGCTAAAAGAGTATTTAATATAGCTTACACTTTAAGCTTTTAAATAAAATATAACACTATTAAAGTAATATACTATAGCTATATATAAAGTTTTTAAAAAAAAAAAATAACTAATATACTAAATAACTTTTATAAGCTAATTCTATAGCTAACTTATAAAGGTTAAATAATAATAAAAAGTAAGTAATTATTAAGTATATACTTAATCTATATATATAAATATTTTTTTTAGCTAGTAACTATAGCTAATATAGCTAATATAGCTAATTCTTTATACGCTAAGTATAATCTAGGCTATGCTAGTATAAACTAGCTTAGTATGTTTATAAAATGTTATTTAAAGCTTAAAGTAAAGTTTAAGTATAAGTATATGTTGCGTATACTAAGAGCCTTAGTTAGGGCTTAGAGTCTAGAACACAGCTTAGGATCTAGAGATAGTATGTTCTAAAGCTTAGTATATATACAGAGAGCCTTTAACTCTCTTAGATATTAGAGTTACTTTATCTAATCTTTAAAACAGCTACTACTAGGCTATTTTATCCTCTATAGTATAATTATAAAAAACCTTTTTATAAAAGTTTTAAAGTAATTTAAAGCTAGTTTAGCTTTATAAAAAAATAAAAGCTAAGTATAGTATTTAAAATAATAATATAACGTACTTTACAGGCAAGTTGCTTACACACCTAAGTTGCTTACTTTTACTAAGACTCTACTAAACTACTTTTTTTACACTAATGCATTTCTAATAACACTACTTAAATGTGCTAAAAAAATGTTAGATATAGCTTATACTCTAAGCTTTTAAATAAAACATAAAACTTTTAAAGAAATGTACTATAGCTATATATAAAGTCTTTTAAAAGATAATAAATAACTATAGCACTAGATAACCTTTATAAGCTAGGTAATAAA